AAATTAGTTTTTATTGGGACTGAATGAAAAAATAATTTGTTAAATGTAAGTTGTATTTATATATTTATATCGATCTGGCAACTCCGATAATTGTATAGAGTTACCGGAGTTTAATTGTCACCATTTCACGCTTTGAGGTTGAATTCATAGTCAACTTTCGTGTGTTGCCGAATTCGCGAAATGGCGTTTATGCACACACGAATCGGCTGAAATCGCGAAATGAAAGCTTGCCAGATCGATATAAATACATAAATACACCTTACATTTAACAAATTTTTTGTTCATTCAGTGCCAATGGAAACTAGTTTTCATCTTTTATTTAAACGGTAAAAGAATGTTATACTGGCTTGCACACACTTTATCTTTAATACAAGCAAGATTATTTCATGCGAATCGAAAAAAATAATCGGTTTTATAATCGCTAGCACCTTTTTCCACCGGTCCGGCATCTCTGTCAGCTGAGATTGATAAAAAGCATGAATTCGGCTGTGTCGCATAAACAGGAGCAAATTTTATTTCACGCTTTTAAGAAATCATGAAATCCTTAGCATAAACATAGTAATAGATTAATAATTATATATTTATTTTCAGCCTATGGACCAGCCATACACATTAGTTCGGGGCTTCTCCAGTTGGCCCCCGATTCGGAGCAACCTCAACTGCTGCTGGTGCCCAATGTCTACTCCTCGTCACTGGGAAATCCCTGGCCGCATTTCTATGTGGACACCTTGACGGCTTCGCACCTGCCACACTCATCGATTCCATCGATTCCAACTATCCCATTGACCCCTTCGATCAACGAACCGCGCATCGTGGTCAATGACAATGTGGACTTTTCGCAGATCAAATTGCCCCAGCATAAAGTAGTCCATTCCCATGGACGCTAAATGGGTTCATCGAGAAACTATTTACAAACCTTCATAAATTATATGGTTCATTTGTGTAGTGCTTAAGGTTTTTTTTTAACTTTTTTGTTTTCTGGTATTTTATTTCTTACACAGACACTTAATAAACTTGCTATAAAAATATTTTGTGAAATGTTTTTGGGCTTAATTGCAATATTAATGTGTGCCTAATCATATAGGAATGAAACTTTGCCAGGGGTCTACGCAAAAAATCATGAAAAATCTGCATAGGCAAATGCCAAACTCAAAAATATTAATTTTTTTGATAAAAAATAGGGATTATATTTTGAATTTTAAAATAAAACACATAATGATTACGGACTTTGGCTCAAAATGTTCTATTATGATAAGTAGTAATTATTAAACATTTATTTTTATATTATTTTATTTTTTGTTTATTTTATTAACCATATCCATTTGGAGATATGCATTTTCATATTTAGCCCGAGCCTCCGCCTCCTTAATGAGCTCCTGATGCTTTTGGGATCGTTGCTCCTGCATACGGATGCGGTACTCATCATGGCAGTCGTTGGATCCTTTGGGTCAGGTACTCCAGATCCTGATGGTGTGGTTCGCTAGGCTGGCGAATGGGCGAAGGCCCCGATGAGGGTATCGAGTGCATCCACAGGATACACCCAAATCCCTAATCGAGGCCTTCGCCAAAGAGCAGAGAAGGATCTGGATGACCGCTACCAATGCCTACCAACAGTCCAAAAGAATCTACCTGTGCCAGGGATCTCAGATCCTGAAAGAGGGGCTCAATAACCTGGCAGCTACCGAGTTGCAGGCCAAGAACGGGCAGGGTTTATTCGATGGCCTCAATAAGTCCCTTTCCAATTGGGAGATCACAGGGTGAAAAACCGACAGCCCCATGGTTTCCCCATTGGAAAAACGCCTCGTTGAGGACACGGAAGAAACTCTGCGCCTTTTTGGCCAACATCTGGGTGGCTGCAGGGTGTTGAGCCCCTACTATCAGGAATCTGGTGTCCTTGATCCAGGTAGAACCTCGTGGCCTCCTGGTAGGCACTGGTAGTGGACATCGAGGTCCCTTTCTGCTCATATGCGAGGACTAGACTCGAGAGGCTATTGAAATCCTGGCGACCAGATGGTTTTCCCACCACCTTGGGCAACATTTTGATTGCCTTGTCGGTTTCTTCTGGGGATCTTTCCAGACTCATTTGGCTATCTTGGGTATATCCATCTCCTCGTCCTTCAAGTGGATTTGGGCCAATTCCATTTGGGACAGGTCATACATAGTCTTCAGGCTTAAAACTTCAGGTAAAATAGTAAAAGGTAGCAAGAAATCATAAAACCATATGGCGCATTATGGAGTTTTATACCCACCCATCTGGATACTCTTGAAATGGCCCAGGGATCCTATTTAATCCTGACGATTAAAGACTTAAGACCCATGTCCATTTCTTTTGAGTTTTCCAAATTCTTTCGGGGTCTTGTTGGTGAAATGGGCTGCAAGCAGGATATTAGCCAGATACTTTTTATATAACCTGTACATGCCTCCAGGTGACTTGCAAAAAATCTCGACTAATATTTGTTGTAGCAAGTCAACTAAGGAATTTACATATATAATATATGTATATTCTTATTTAATGTGTGCCTGTGTAACTCCAAAACTCACCATTTGTTTAATGCAAGTGTCCAGTAATATTTCCTCCAATTTTGGACAAATGTGCTTCGTCATGAGAACAACTTCTTATTTTTTACGTACACCAACCACTGACAATTTTCAAGGAACACTGAATTTTCTTTGACAAGTAAAACCAGAGTTGACTGATGCTATCAAAGTTCAGAGAACCATTTATAGGGTTGCTGAGATAAAAAAACGATCGTTTTAATTGTAGACTCGAAATCGACTCTACGTGTAACTAACGGAAATAATTAATCTTGGCCCGAAAAAATTATTAAGTTACATATAGCTTTGTTGGTTTTTATCATATTTTTTTACTCTGGGGTATCCCATTTTTTTAAAGATTTTAGAATTTTGAACTACATTTTTTTTAAATCGGACGAGGGCAAGGGTTTCTAAGCTTGCTTTCTGGTTTAAAGTTTAAATATATATAATATTGTAAATATAATCTTAATTTTTTTTAAACCCCCAAACACGTTTTAAAATTCATTTTAACTTAGTTTTATTTCAATAATTTTTAACAAAAAAAAAAACAGTTTTAGAATAAGATATTCTTTGAGCATTTTGCTAGGTCTTGGGTGCCTAATGCTCAATTGTTTATTTTGGCAGTGGTTGTGGTGACTTTAGTAAGTGGTCATGCGGTGGAGCAGGAGCATTTGACCAGCCACGGTGCGTATGAGTATCGTTATTTGACTTTAGTCATATACTGTGTTTATGCGATGCCGAATTCACGCTTTCATTTCGCGATTTCAGCCGATTCGTGTGTGCATAAACGCCAGTTGACTATGAATTCAACCTGAAAGCGTGAAATGGTCACAATTAAACTCCGGTAACTCTTACTGTTACTATGTTTATGCTAAGGGATTCATGATTTCTTAAAAGCGTGAAATAAAATTTGTTCCTGTTTATGCGACACGACCGAATTCATGAATTTTATCAATCTCAGCTGACAGAGATGCCGGACCGGTGGAAAAAGGCGTTAGCGATTCGCATGAACTAATCTTTCTAATATTAAAGATAAAGTGTGTACAAGCCAGTATAACATTTTTCCACCGTCAAAATAAAAGATGAAAATTAGTTTTTATTGGGACTGAATGAAAAAATAATTTGTTAAATGTAAGTTGTATTTATATATTTATATCGATCTGGCAACTCCGATAATTGTATAGAGTTACCGGAGTTTAATTGTCACCATTTCACGCTTTGAGGTTGAATTCATAGTCAACTTTCGTGTGTTGCCGAATTCGCGAAATGGCGTTTATGCACACACGAATCGGCTGAAATCGCGAAATGAAAGCTTGCCAGATCGATATAAATACATAAATACACCTTACATTTAACAAATTTTTTGTTCATTCAGTGCCAATGGAAACTAGTTTTCATCTTTTATTTAAACGGTAAAAGAATGTTATACTGGCTTGCACACACTTTATCTTTAATACAAGCAAGATTATTTCATGCGAATCGAAAAAAATAATCGGTTTTATAATCGCTAGCACCTTTTTCCACCGGTCCGGCATCTCTGTCAGCTGAGATTGATAAAAAGCATGAATTCGGCTGTGTCGCATAAACAGGAGCAAATTTTATTTCACGCTTTTAAGAAATCATGAAATCCTTAGCATAAACATAGTAATAGATTAATAATTATATATTTATTTTCAGCCTATGGACCAGCCATACACATTAGTTCGGGGCTTCTCCAGTTGGCCCCCGATTCGGAGCAACCTCAACTGCTGCTGGTGCCCAATGTCTACTCCTCGTCACTGGGAAATCCCTGGCCGCATTTCTATGTGGACACCTTGACGGCTTCGCACCTGCCACACTCATCGATTCCATCGATTCCAACTATCCCATTGACCCCTTCGATCAACGAACCGCGCATCGTGGTCAATGACAATGTGGACTTTTCGCAGATCAAATTGCCCCAGCATAAAGTAGTCCATTCCCATGGACGCTAAATGGGTTCATCGAGAAACTATTTACAAACCTTCATAAATTATATGGTTCATTTGTGTAGTGCTTAAGGTTTTTTTTTAACTTTTTTGTTTTCTGGTATTTTATTTCTTACACAGACACTTAATAAACTTGCTATAAAAATATTTTGTGAAATGTTTTTGGGCTTAATTGCAATATTAATGTGTGCCTAATCATATAGGAATGAAACTTTGCCAGGGGTCTACGCAAAAAATCATGAAAAATCTGCATAGGCAAATGCCAAACTCAAAAATATTAATTTTTTTGATAAAAAATAGGGATTATATTTTGAATTTTAAAATAAAACACATAATGATTACGGACTTTGGCTCAAAATGTTCTATTATGATAAGTAGTAATTATTAAACATTTATTTTTATATTATTTTATTTTTTGTTTATTTTATTAACCATATCCATTTGGAGATATGCATTTTCATATTTAGCCCGAGCCTCCGCCTCCTTAATGAGCTCCTGATGCTTTTGGGATCGTTGCTCCTGCATACGGATGCGGTACTCATCATGGCAGTCGTTGGATCCTTTCGGTCAGGTACTCCAGATCCTGATGGTGTGGTTCGCTAGGCTGGCGAATGGGCGAAGGCCCCGATGAGGGTATCGAGTGCATCCACAGGATACACCCAAATCCCTAATCGAGGCCTTCGCCAAAGAGCAGAGAAGGATCTGGATGACCGCTACCAATGCCTACCAACAGTCCAAAAGAATCTACCTGTGCCAGGGATCTCAGATCCTGAAAGAGGGGCTCAATAACCTGGCAGCTACCGAGTTGCAGGCCAAGAACGGGCAGGGTTTATTCGATGGCCTCAATAAGTCCCTTTCCAATTGGGAGATCACAGGGTGAAAAACCGACAGCCCCATGGTTTCCCCATTGGAAAAACGCCTCGTTGAGGACACGGAAGAAACTCTGCGCCTTTTTGGCCAACATCTGGGTGGCTGCAGGGTGTTGAGCCCCTACTATCAGGAATCTGGTGTCCTTGATCCAGGTAGAACCTCGTGGCCTCCTGGTAGGCACTGGTAGTGGACATCGAGGTCCCTTTCTGCTCATATGCGAGGACTAGACTCGAGAGGCTATTGAAATCCTGGCGACCAGATGGTTTTCCCACCACCTTGGGCAACATTTTGATTGCCTTGTCGGTTTCTTCTGGGGATCTTTCCAGACTCATTTGGCTATCTTGGGTATATCCATCTCCTCGTCCTTCAAGTGGATTTGGGCCAATTCCATTTGGGACAGGTCATACATAGTCTTCAGGCTTAAAACTTCAGGTAAAATAGTAAAAGGTAGCAAGAAATCATAAAACCATATGGCGCATTATGGAGTTTTATACCCACCCATCTGGATACTCTTGAAATGGCCCAGGGATCCTATTTAATCCTGACGATTAAAGACTTAAGACCCATGTCCATTTCTTAAGCTTGGCCCTTTTAAGTTTTCCAAATTCTTTCGGGGTCTTGTTGGTGAAATGGGCTGCAAGCAGGATATTAGCCAGATACTTTTTATATAACCTGTACATGCCTCCAGGTGACTTGCAAAAAATCTCGACTAATATTTGTTGTAGCAAGTCAACTAAGGAATTTACATATATAATATATGTATATTCTTATTTAATGTGTGCCTGTGTAACTCCAAAACTCACCATTTGTTTAATGCAAGTGTCCAGTAATATTTCCTCCAATTTTGGACAAATGTGCTTCGTCATGAGAACAACTTCTTATTTTTTACGTACACCAACCACTGACAATTTTCAAGGAACACTGAATTTTCTTTGACAAGTAAAACCAGAGTTGACTGATGCTATCAAAGTTCAGAGAACCATTTATAGGGTTGCTGAGATAAAAAAACTATCGTTTTAATTGTAGACTCGAAATCGACTCTACGTGTAACTAACGGAAATAATTAATCTTGGCCCGAAAAAATTATTAAGTTACATATAGCTTTGTTGGTTTTTATCATATTTTTTTACTCTGGGGTATCCCATTTTTTTAAAGATTTTAGAATTTTGAACTACATTTTTTTTAAATCGGACGAGGGCAAGGGTTTCTAAGCTTGCTTTCTGGTTTAAAGTTTAAATATATATAATATTGTAAATATAATCTTAATTTTTTTTAAACCCCCAAACACGTTTTAAAATTCATTTTAACTTAGTTTTATTTCAATAATTTTTAACAAAAAAAAAACAGTTTTAGAATAAGATATTCTTTGAGCATTTTGCTAGGTCTTGGGTGCCTAATGCTCAATTGTTTATTTTGGCAGTGGTTGTGGTGACTTTAGTAAGTGGTCATGCGGTGGAGCAGGAGCATTTGACCAGCCACGGTGCGTATGAGTATCGTTATTTGACTTTAGTCATATACTGTGTTTATGCGATGCCGAATTCACGCTTTCATTTCGCGATTTCAGCCGATTCGTGTGTGCATAAACGCCAGTTGACTATGAATTCAACCTGAAAGCGTGAAATGGTCACAATTAAACTCCGGTAACTCTTACTGTTACTATGTTTATGCTAAGGGATTCATGATTTCTTAAAAGCGTGAAATAAAATTTGTTCCTGTTTATGCGACACGACCGAATTCATGAATTTTATCAATCTCAGCTGACAGAGATGCCGGACCGGTGGAAAAAGGCGTTAGCGATTCGCATGAACTAATCTTTCTAATATTAAAGATAAAGTGTGTACAAGCCAGTATAACATTTTTCCACCGTCAAAATAAAAGATGAAAATTAGTTTTTATTGGGACTGAATGAAAAAATAATTTGTTAAATGTAAGTTGTATTTATATATTTATATCGATCTGGCAACTCCGATAATTGTATAGAGTTACCGGAGTTTAATTGTCACCATTTCACGCTTTGAGGTTGAATTCATAGTCAACTTTCGTGTGTTGCCGAATTCGCGAAATGGCGTTTATGCACACACGAATCGGCTGAAATCGCGAAATGAAAGCTTGCCAGATCGATATAAATACATAAATACACCTTACATTTAACAAATTTTTTGTTCATTCAGTGCCAATGGAAACTAGTTTTCATCTTTTATTTAAACGGTAAAAGAATGTTATACTGGCTTGCACACACTTTATCTTTAATACAAGCAAGATTATTTCATGCGAATCGAAAAAAATAATCGGTTTTATAATCGCTAGCACCTTTTTCCACCGGTCCGGCATCTCTGTCAGCTGAGATTGATAAAAAGCATGAATTCGGCTGTGTCGCATAAACAGGAGCAAATTTTATTTCACGCTTTTAAGAAATCATGAAATCCTTAGCATAAACATAGTAATAGATTAATAATTATATATTTATTTTCAGCCTATGGACCAGCCATACACATTAGTTCGGGGCTTCTCCAGTTGGCCCCCGATTCGGAGCAACCTCAACTGCTGCTGGTGCCCAATGTCTACTCCTCGTCACTGGGAAATCCCTGGCCGCATTTCTATGTGGACACCTTGACGGCTTCGCACCTGCCACACTCATCGATTCCATCGATTCCAACTATCCCATTGACCCCTTCGATCAACGAACCGCGCATCGTGGTCAATGACAATGTGGACTTTTCGCAGATCAAATTGCCCCAGCATAAAGTAGTCCATTCCCATGGACGCTAAATGGGTTCATCGAGAAACTATTTACAAACCTTCATAAATTATATGGTTCATTTGTGTAGTGCTTAAGGTTTTTTTTTAACTTTTTTGTTTTCTGGTATTTTATTTCTTACACAGACACTTAATAAACTTGCTATAAAAATATTTTGTGAAATGTTTTTGGGCTTAATTGCAATATTAATGTGTGCCTAATCATATAGGAATGAAACTTTGCCAGGGGTCTACGCAAAAAATCATGAAAAATCTGCATAGGCAAATGCCAAACTCAAAAATATTAATTTTTTTGATAAAAAATAGGGATTATATTTTGAATTTTAAAATAAAACACATAATGATTACGGACTTTGGCTCAAAATGTTCTATTATGATGAGTAGTAATTATTAAACATTTATTTTTATATTATTTTATTTTTTGTTTATTTTATTAACCATATCCATTTGGAGATATGCATTTTCATATTTAGCCCGAGCCTCCGCCTCCTGCATACGGATGCGGTACTCATCATGGCAGTCGTTGGATCCTTTGGGTCAGGTAGTCCAGATCCTGATGGTGTGGTTCGCTAGGCTGGCGAATGGGCGAAGGCCCCGATGAGGGTATCGAGTGCATCCACAGGATACACCCAAATCCCTAATCGAGGCCTTCGCCAAAGAGCAGAGAAGGATCTGGATGACCGCTACCAATGCCTACCAACAGTCCAAAAGAATCTACCTGTGCCAGGGATCTCAGATCCTGAAAGAGGGGCTCAATAACCTGGCAGCTACCGAGTTGCAGGCCAAGAACGGGCAGGGTTTATTCGATGGCCTCAATAAGTCCCTTTCCAATTGGGAGATCACAGGGTGAAAAACCGACAGCCCCATGGTTTCCCCATTGGAAAAACGCCTCGTTGAGGACACGGAAGAAACTCTGCGCCTTTTTGGCCAACATCTGGGTGGCTGCAGGGTGTTGAGCCCCTACTATCAGGAATCTGGTGTCCTTGATCCAGGTAGAACCTCGTGGCCTCCTGGTAGGCACTGGTAGTGGACATCGAGGTCCCTTTCTGCTCATATGCGAGGACTAGACTCGAGAGGCTATTGAAATCCTGGCGACCAGATGGTTTTCCCACCACCTTGGGCAACATTTTGATTGCCTTGTCGGTTTCTTCTGGGGATCTTTCCAGACTCATTTGGCTATCTTGGGTATATCCATCTCCTCGTCCTTCAAGTGGATTTGGGCCAATTCCATTTGGGACAGGTCATACATAGTCTTCAGGCTTAAAACTTCAGGTAAAATAGTAAAAGGTAGCAAGAAATCATAAAACCATATGGCGCATTATGGAGTTTTATACCCACCCATCTGGATACTCTAGAAATGGCCCAGGGATCCTATTTAATCCTGACGATAAAAGACTTAAGACCCATGTCCATTTCTTAAGCTTGGCCCTTTTAAGTTTTCCAAATTCTTTCGGGGTCTTGTTGGTGAAATGGGCTGCAAGCAGGATATTAGCCAGATACTTTTTATATAACCTGTACATGCCTCCAGGTGACTTGCAAAAAATCTCGACTAATATATGTATATTCTTATTTAATGTGTGCCTGTGTAACTCCAAAACTCACCATTTGTTTAATGCAAGTGTCCAGTAATATTTCCTCCAATTTTGGACAAATGTGCTTCGTCATGAGAACAACTTCTTATTTTTTACGTACACCAACCACTGACAATTTTCAAGGAACACTGAATTTTCTTTGACAAGTAAAACCAGAGTTGACTGATGCTATCAAAGTTCAGAGAACCATTTATAGGGTTGCTGAGATAAAAAAACTATCGTTTTAATTGTAGACTCGAAATCGACTCTACGTGTAACTAACGGAAATAATTAATCTTGGCCCGAAAAAATTATTAAGTTACATATAGCTTTGTTGGTTTTTATCATATTTTTTTACTCTGGGGTATCCCATTTTTTTAAAGATTTTAGAATTTTGAACTACATTTTTTTTAAATCGGACGAGGGCAAGGGTTTCTAAGCCTGCTTTCTGGTTTAAAGTTTAAATATATATAATATTGTAAATATAATCTTAATTTTTTTTAAACCCCCAAACACGTTTTAAAATTCATTTTAACTTAGTTTTATTTCAATAATTTTTAACAAAAAAAAAAAACAGTTTTAGAATAAGATATTCTTTGAGCATTTTGCTAGGTCTTGGGTGCCTAATGCTCAATTGTTTATTTTGGCAGTGGTTGTGGTGACTTTAGTAAGTGGTCATGCGGTGGAGCAGGAGCATTTGACCAGCCACGGTGCGTATGAGTATCGTTATTTGACTTTAGTCATATACTGTGTTTATGCGATGCCGAATTCACGCTTTCATTTCGCGATTTCAGCCGATTCGTGTGTGCATAAACGCCAGTTGACTATGAATTCAACCTGAAAGCGTGAAATGGTCACAATTAAACTCCGGTAACTCTTACTGTTACTATGTTTATGCTAAGGGATTCATGATTTCTTAAAAGCGTGAAATAAAATTTGTTCCTGTTTATGCGACACGACCGAATTCATGAATTTTATCAATCTCAGCTGACAGAGATGCCGGACCGGTGGAAAAAGGCGTTAGCGATTCGCATGAACTAATCTTTCTAATATTAAAGATAAAGTGTGTACAAGCCAGTATAACATTTTTCCACCGTCAAAATAAAAGATGAAAATTAGTTTTTATTGGGACTGAATGAAAAAATAATTTGTTAAATGTAAGTTGTATTTATATATTTATATCGATCTGGCAACTCCGATAATTGTATAGAGTTACCGGAGTTTAATTGTCACCATTTCACGCTTTGAGGTTGAATTCATAGTCAACTTTCGTGTGTTGCCGAATTCGCGAAATGGCGTTTATGCACACACGAATCGGCTGAAATCGCGAAATGAAAGCTTGCCAGATCGATATAAATACATAAATACACCTTACATTTAAGAAATTTTTTGTTCATTCAGTGCCAATGGAAACTAGTTTTCATCTTTTATTTAAACGGTAAAAGAATTTTATACTGGCTTGCACACACTTTATCTTTAATACAAGCAAGATTATTTCATGCGAATCGAAAAAAATAATCGGTTTTATAATCGCTAGCACCTTTTTCCACCGGTCCGGCATCTCTGTCAGCTGAGATTGATAAAAAGCATGAATTCGGCTGTGTCGCATAAACAGGAGCAAATTTTATTTCACGCTTTTAAGAAATCATGAAATCCTTAGCATAAACATAGTAATAGATTAATAATTATATATTTATTTTCAGCCTATGGACCAGCCATACACATTAGTTCGGGGCTTCTCCAGTTGGCCCCCGATTCGGAGCAACCTCAACTGCTGCTGGTGCCCAATGTCTACTCCTCGTCACTGGGAAATCCCTGGCCGCATTTCTATGTGGACACCTTGACGGCTTCGCACCTGCCACACTCATCGATTCCATCGATTCCAACTATCCCATTGACCCCTTCGATCAACGAACCGCGCATCGTGGTCAATGACAATGTGGACTTTTCGCAGATCAAATTGCCCCAGCATAAAGTAGTCCATTCCCATGGACGCTAAATGGGTTCATCGAGAAACTATTTACAAACCTTCATAAATTATATGGTTCATTTGTGTAGTGCTTAAGGTTTTTTTTTAACTTTTTTGTTTTCTGGTATTTTATTTCTTACACAGACACTTAATAAACTTGCTATAAAAATATTTTGTGAAATGTTTTTGGGCTTAATTGCAATATTAATGTGTGCCTAATCATATAGGAATGAAACTTTGCCAGGGGTCTACGCAAAAAATCATGAAAAATCTGCATAGGCAAATGCCAAACTCAAAAATATTAATTTTTTTGATAAAAAATAGGGATTATATTTTGAATTTTAAAATAAAACACATAATGATTACGGACTTTGGCTCAAAATGTTCTATTATGATGAGTAGTAATTATTAAACATTTATTTTTATATTATTTTATTTTTTGTTTATTTTATTAACCATATCCATTTGGAGATATGCATTTTCATATTTAGCCCGAGCCTCCGCCTCCTTAATGAGCTCCTGATGCTTTTGGGATCATCATGGCAGTCGTTGGATCCTTTGGGTCAGGTAGTCCAGATCCTGATGGTGTGGTTCGCTAGGCTGGCGAATGGGCGAAGGCCCCGATGAGGGTATCGAGTGCATCCACAGGATACACCCAAATCCCTAATCGAGGCCTTCGCCAAAGAGCAGAGAAGGATCTGGATGACCGCTACCAATGCCTACCAACAGTCCAAAAGAATCTACCTGTGCCAGGGATCTCAGATCCTGAAAGAGGGGCTCAATAACCTGGCAGCTACCGAGTTGCAGGCCAAGAACGGGCAGGGTTTATTCGATGGCCTCAATAAGTCCCTTTCCAATTGGGAGATCACAGGGTGAAAAACCGACAGCCCCATGGTTTCCCCATTGGAAAAACGCCTCGTTGAGGACACGGAAGAAACTCTGCGCCTTTTTGGCCAACATCTGGGTGGCTGCAGGGTGTTGAGCCCCTACTATCAGGAATCTGGTGTCCTTGATCCAGGTAGAACCTCGTGGCCTCCTGGTAGGCACTGGTAGTGGACATCGAGGTCCCTTTCTGCTCATATGCGAGGACTAGACTCGAGAGGCTATTGAAATCCTGGCGACCAGATGGTTTTCCCATCACCTTGGGCAACATTTTGATTGCCTTGTCGGTTTCTTCTGGGGATCTTTTCTGACTCATTTGGCTATCTTGGGTATATCCATCTCCTCGTCCTTCAAGTGGATTTGGGCCAATTCCATTTGGGACAGGTCATACATAGTCTTCAGGCTTAAAACTTCAGGTAAAATAGTAAAAGGTAGCAAGAAATCATAAAACCATATGGCGCATTATGGAGTTTTATACCCACCCATCTGGATACTCTTGAAATGGCCCAGGGATCCTATTTAATCCTGACGATTAAAGACTTAAGACCCATGTCCATTTCTTAAGCTTGGCCCTTTTAAGTTTTCCAAATTCTTTCGGGGTCTTGTTGGTGAAATGGGCTGCAAGCAGGATATTAGCCAGATACTTTTTATATAACCTGTACATGCCTCCAGGTGACTTGCAAAAATTTCCCTTGATATTTGGTGTGGCAAATTAACTAAGGAATTTACACATTAATTCATATTTAATATGTGTCTGTGTAACTCCAAAACTCACCGCTTCTTCAATGCAAGTCTGCAGTAATATTTCCTCCAATTTTGGACAAATGTGCTTCGTCATGAGAACAACTTTTTATTTTTTACGTACAACTAACCACTGACAATTCTCAAGAGACACTGAATTTTCTTTGACAAGTAACACTAGGGTTGATTGATACTATCAAAATCCAGAGAACCACTTATAGTATATATAGTATTTTTATAGGGTTGCTGGGATAAAAAACTATCGTTTTTTTTTAGTCTCAACATCGATTCTACAAGTATCAATTGGAAATAACAAATCTTGGCCCGAAAAAATTATTGAACTACTTATAGCTTTGTTGGTTTTGATCATATTTCTTTTTTAATCTGGGAGTAAAATTTCGACGTTTGTTATATTTACAAATTTGTTTATAGATTTATAGGCTTGCTTTTTTGTTTAAAGTAAAATAAACTAAAGGTCCCTGTATTGAAATTATAATTTTACAAGAATATTATACATCCTCTCCATTATATTTAGCCCCAAAATACGTTTTAAAATTCATTTTAACTTAGTTTTATTTCAATAATTTTTAACAAAAAAAAACAGTTTTAGAATAAGATAATCTTTGAGCATTTTGCTAGGTCTTGGGTGCGACGATCACAGTCTTAGTAGAGATGCTCCAGCTGGTGGTGGTCCAGTTGGTGGTCGTGCTCCGCCTGGTGCTCCACCTGCTCCTCGAGGGCCTGGTGCTGGAGGTGATGGAGTTCGTGCTCATCGCGATCCTTGAACTCGTACAGGGTGCTATAGCTAAAGGCACCCTTGCCATGATCGATGCCGGGCACGGCCTTCTGATCCTCGTAGTGGGAGTGCACCTCACTGGCCTCCGCGTACTCCTCGCCAGCATCACTGCTGCCATAGTCGGCGGGGAAGCTCTCCTCGCCCAAATGGTCACCCAGGGAGCCCAGATGATCCTCATGCCCGGTGGTGCCGAATTCATGGGAGGATGAGCTGAAATCCAGCTTGGACAATGCCTCGCCGCCAGTCAAACCGCCGGCATAGTGACCCAGCAGACCAGCCGAGTGGACCACACTGGAGGAGGAGGAGCTATCATCGCCCAGGGGATAGCTCTGGATGCCCAGCAGCAGTTGGCCCAGCAGGATCATCAGTTTCAGGCGGTAGGTGAACATGGTTGGATTGGTTTTTTTTGTTTTTTGGCAAAAGTTAAGACCTTCTAACCGACGCGGTGAAATGTTTCGAGACAACTAATTTACTGCTACCAACTCCATTTGGTTTTATATGCTCGGAGCACTCACATTCGACCGCAAAGTTTGTGCCGCATTTTCCTGCATTTTCCACTGACTTTTGCACACACACAGTCTTTTGTTTGGCGAAAAGTGAAAAACACAGAAAAAAAAATGTTGCAACGGACATCTGCCTGCTGCCTGCTGGCCGCTCGTCGTTCGGCTGGAGCTGATAATTTGCTGCACTTACTCCGCATTACGTCGACGTCTAAGTGGCGGGGCCATTGAAAAGCCTGTTGCAATGGTGCGTATACGTAATAATTTTCGTCTTCTCTGCTATGATTATCTTCTGTTTTTTTTATTTTTTCGGCCATTAGGCCCGTTCTTGGTGCCTGGTATTCGGTTTTTGGCCCATTGCGTCATTTTTGGCATCCCTGTGAGCCTTAACCCTCCGTCTATTTGCACTCGAGGCGGAAGCTCACATTTTTTGGCACAGCCCAACTAATTGGGTTTATCAACAGCAAATAGTGGAAGTAGAATGGCAAATATAAAGAGTCATTCACTTATACGTCTATTTGAGGTAAGTTGTGGGTATATATCTCTCGGCTTATAACAATGCAGTGAGCTATGTTCATTGTGCAAAGCTGCCAAAAAGTGCAATTAGCTTCTTGGGAAACGTATAATATTTATACTAAAGCTAAATAAGAAAGAAGTTCATTGAATTTATTCAATGATCTTAAAAATTCTTATTTGCTTAGTTATTAAAAACTAAAGTCTTTTATATTTTATCTAAATAGATAGTTTTATGAATAACAACTCTAAAATAATATAATAATAATATATAATAAAATTCGATATATTATTAATATATATCACATAAAGTATAAATAAGAAAGAAGTTCATTCAATTTATTCAATGATCTTAAAAGTTTTGCATAGTTATTCAAAATTAAATTCTGTTATATTTTACCTAAATAGATAGTTTTATAAATAACAACTCTTAAATAAACGTAAAAACTGTATAATAACATATAATAAAATTATATATATTATTTATATATATTACAAAAAGGAAAATTAATAAAGAAGATCATTCATTCTATTTAACGATCTTTAAAATACTTATTTACTTAGTTATTAAAGTTTAAAGTCTTTTATATTCTATTTAAACAGATAGTTTTATGAGTAACAACTCATAAATAAAACTGTAAACAAACATATAACACAATTCGATGTATTATTTATATATATTACATAAAGCTATTTATTAATCACCCCCTAAAGCACTTTGAGGAATATAGAGAAATCTTAATTTGATTTCGATTTCATGAGACTCTCGACTGCAATTAAAATCACAACGAGCCAACAGAGCGAAAAGTCCGCGCTTGATCGCCAGCATTTTCCAAAAACCCACAGCCCCATGCGTCTGACACACTCACCCATATTCCCCTCCAGATATGGATACTATACTATATGCCATAGATATAAATATATGGAGCACGAGTGCCTGGAAGATTGCAAAAGATGGAAAAGCGAAACAAAATAGCAACCGATGTACATATAAACATTTGTCGATGGTGCCTGCCGGCAATACAACTTAAAATGTGCGAATAAATTGCCAAAAACTAAAAATCGGTCGTAACGAAGTTGTTGTACACTAAATCAACCCAATTAAATATTTATGAAAGCCATTGGAAAGTAAAGTGCTATCTTTGAATATATACAAAAAATACCTAACAAAACATGAAGATCTCATCTTTATCAATCATCTTTACAAATAAATAGGTACAAATATTTATGATTCTTTATTTAATTTTATATAGTACTATAATAGGTTGATTATTTGTTATTTATAAAACAGATATATGTTTATGACTTCAAAAATGTATGGTATTTAAAATAAAGATAAAGATAGCTTCCTTAAAAATGTTAATCATTTTGAAAGTTTGTTTGTCACGTTATAGAATATTTTCTTAAGGGTATAATTTATTTTTAAAAACTTTTTATACAATATAATACATTATAATACTATAATTGAAATATTATATTTTATATTATATAATATATATAAAAATACGTAATAATAATGATAATTTTATAGGATGATTAGTAATTAAAACTGGAGTAGTTTCTATATTTTAGGTATGAATTCATCATCTTCCTAACTTATAAAAAATATTATAAAATATTAAAACATATCACAATTTAGAGCGACAGTACTAGATTTTCTCCATGGTCAGTCCAGCGTTTCAGTACATTTTTGAAGTCGCCCAGTGTGATCAATTGGGCAGTATTCATTTTCGAATCCACCGCACAAATGGCCAACTGGAGGCACTCTTAACGCTTCTGATTGCCGATGTTGCTGCTGCTGTTGCCGGCGATCGGCGATGTTGCTAGTTGCTAGTTGCTGTTGGGTTGCGTGCCGGCAACATCAACGACGGCAGCAACACCGCACAAATTACCAATGTAATAGCACCGCTTGTTTTGTGTTTAAATTTTTGTTTCGCCGTTGATGGTGGGGGCGGCCGGGTAATTGGGAGCGGAGCAAGGTGGTTATTAGATGGCTCGCTTTTTGGCAGCCACTGAAACATTTCCTAACGCAAGAAATATTTACTTGGAAATTATGCGATTGCTACCTGGATTTTGAAAGCCCCAAGTGGATCGTGAGCCTCGGACACGTGAATCGTGGGCGATTTCGTGACATCGTGTCTTAGAACCAGACATCTATATCTATGGGGGTGATAAATTTCACTCTAAGTGCCGAAAAAGAAATGGGGTTCATCATATAAAAGGCCAGTCATGACTAAGTTTTCTCCCAGTGTCTCTTGGATTACCATGACTTCTTCGGTTCTAGTGGTGCTGCTGGTAGTGCTGGCTCGGATTCCAAAGCCTATAGAAGCAGATTCAATAAAGGAATCCGTTCCTCAAAGTGGCGACTTCACAATAGAAACTCATAACAAATCGAGTCCAGAAATTGTGAATATTTCAGATATTAAAAGCCTAAAGAAACTGGATTCTCACATAAAAGAAGGCTTTGTCACCGAAATTCCAAGTCAAATTGGCTCTACAAATTCCAGTCTGCAAACCCAAATTCCAAATCTTTCAAATCCAGAAATCAGTCCACAAAATGTGGATGCTACACTCAAAAACCCAGAAGAAATTATCTCTGATTTTGTTGATACTTTTGGGAATGAAAGCTTAATTTATTTGCGAAATAAGAGTTTTAATAAAACCAGTTCCGAGAAGGAAATAATTTTGGGTTTTTTAAGAAACGAGCATACCAACTATTGTAAAAATGGATTTTTTAACGAATGGGAAAACACTAGATTTGAGACAAGTGACAGGCTCAACTTGCGACAGCTACCGACTTCGTTTCAGGAACTGCTCCTGGACCGCCTGCAGGATCAGTTGCGTCAGCTGTTTGTCGGCCTGCCCCTGGACATAGCCTTCTCCACCCTCAACTATATATGCAGTACTATTGTAGATCTGGGCGTGGTGAGGTCCAAAATTGTTCCGGATGTCTCGCGCATGAGCTTTCTCCTTCGCACCGAGCAGGAGTGTCAGAATACCAGTATTCCACTGACGCAGGCCGAGAAGCTGTGGGATACTCCCGGGTTTTACCAGGATAGACCCACGGTCCTGTTCATCACCGGCTGGACAACGAGCATAAACAATTCCAACAGCGGACCAGTGGCCAAGGCCTATGCTTGTCGCAATGATACAAATATTTTGGTGAGTCGGGAAATATTTGTGAAGAATAGAATAGATCTTATATATAGAATTGTATCTTGTTATAGATGCAGATATATTTTACTCCACTTTTGGTTTCAAGTAACCGCTTACTAAAGATAATATTTATGTTTTCCTGCACAGAGAATATTCTGACGTTCATATCTGAGCTAAACATTTTCTTAAGAACAAAAATTTTTAATTTGAAAATCTTTTCAAGGTGCAATTTCCATTCAGTAGTGTATACTTATCAAAAAGTTGTTTAATAAACTCAATTAAACTTTTTTCGTTTCACCATTTAGTTCTGATATTAAAAACATTCAATGTTTTTAAGAACGAATGTTCTCAATTCAAGAACAATGTACTTAAATACATCTCTCTGTGTGGCTAACTCAACTATCATATATTTTAAAGATTCTGGATGCCGCTGACTTTATTGACACCCTGTATACATGGTCAGCCTTGAACACAGAGGTTATTGGAGCCACTCTGGCCACGGCACTCCTCCGGATGAATGCGACCTATGTCACGAACCACTTCCATTTGGTGGGTCACAGTCTGGGCGCCCAGATAGCAGGTTCGGCGGGCAGGAACTACCGGCAAATGTCGGGGGGCCTAATCCTGAAGAGAATCACTGGACTGGATCCGGCCAATCCCTGTTTCTACGACGGCAACGATTTGGAGGGTCTGCGGAGTGGGGATGCCCGATTTGTGGACATTATCCACTCGAATCCTGGAATGCTGGGATCCCCGAAACGTTCTGGCGATGCGGACTTCTTTGTCCAGGGACGGGTTCCCTTCAAGGAGGGCTGCGAGGGTATCTCCACCATTAGCTGTTCGCACCAAAGGGCCGTGGATTACTGGACGGAAACGGTTTATCCCTCGAATGCAAACGACTTTCTGGGCAGGCGATGTGATCGCTATTCGGAACTCCTGCTTGGCAGTTTTTGCCGGGACACGAGGACCGTGATGGGTTATGCTGCCAAACCCACGGATCTGGGCCTGTTCTACGTGGGCGCCAATCGAGCGGAGCCCTATGGCCAGAATGCAAATCCGCAGACCTACACCTACTCGACCACTGGATGCGGAGCTTGCTAGTAAACAGACTAAAAATAGTCTGTAACTAAAGAAAAACATTTTAAACCATTACCCTTAGAGTAAATGGGTATCTATAAGGTAGAAGAAAGCGTTTCCGAACAAAAATATATATATATATATATGGAACAATTCATGGAAAACTGCCCAATCAAAGTAGTAAAAATAACACTACTCTTTTAAATTTGTCTGCATAGTTTGTTAGAAATTCAAAAAAATATATAATAAAATATATATAACAAAAATATATTTATACCCTTGCAGAGGGTATAATGAATTCAGTCAGAAGTTTGCAACGCAGTGAAGGAGACGTTTCCGACCATAAAGAATATATATTCTTAATCAGCATCACTAGAAGAATCGATCTACGCAAACTAGTCTCTCAGTTTTTAAGCTATCGGGATGAAACCTTCCCAACAGTTTTATTTATATTGCAGGTAGTATATAACCTTCAACAACCAAAAGTTCTGATATCAACCTTTGTGACGAAAATGTATTATACGATTAAATAAATACATTTTCTAAATTTTTTACATTCGGCACACTGATTATACCTGTGTTTTTCTCATTCGACACGCTTTATCAAAATCGTACAGGCATATTGAATTAAAGCGTTCCAAATGTAAAAAAAAAATTATAAAAAGTATTTATTGTATTCTATATAATATCTTTTTTAGCTTACATAACTTCTGTTAATAAAATAAATTAAATAAGATAATATAATTCGAAACGATGAAAGGTAGTAAGGCGCGGGATAACTGACAATTACATATGTCAGATCTACTGTGCGGCTTATCTCTCAATTGTTAGGCAGTTCAGATACAGGTTTTTCCCGATAATTTCAAGGACAAATCCCAGGCGAGCCCTCCTTCGCTTCCCCTGAGAATTCATTTAGGCCGTGATTTGTGTGTGAAATCGACTAAAGCTGATGTCAACGCAGAGCTAATTCTTTTGTGACGTCTTTTTGTTTCGGGCCCACTAAAATTGTCCAGGGCACGTTGACGGAATGATAAAACAATGGCTTGGCGTTTGGGAGTCGAGATCGGGGAATACGGAATGGGAAATAAGCAATGAGCAATGCGCCCGCATTAATATGGCTATTATTATGGCCCGGTTGTCGTAACCGGCAGCAGCACTTGATTTCAAATACGTGAGAGTCGAAAGTACACTGGAAAAATAAATCATAGTTTGAAATAGTTAAGATATAGTGATTTTAAATTCGATTAAATGTAAAAATGAATTTAAAAACACTGAATTTTAATTTAATTTCATATATATATTTATTACAATTAGTTTAAATTGCAGTTTAAATAATTTAAAATTTGTATTTGATTTTACTTTTTTTTGTTACTAACGGTTAAAACATTAAGCATTTTTATTGTTTTGATAATCTAGCAATGTATAGAAAATATAGAATTTCCTATTAATAAGCTTATTTAAATAGCAATCATTTATTTACAAGCTATAGCTCCAGAATAAAAATAACTAAATATATATATTTTTTTAAATTAAATTAATTTTAATTTAATTTCATATATATATTTATTACAATTAGTTTAAATTGCAGTTTAAATAATTTAAAATTTGTATTTGATTTTACTTTTTTTTGTTACTAACGGTTAAAACATTAAGCATTTTTATTGTTTTGATAATCTAGCAATGTATAGAAAATATAGAATTTCCTATTAATAAGCTTATTTAAATAGCAATCATTTATTTACAAGCTATAGCTCCAGAATAAAAATAACTAAATATATATATTTTTTTAAATTTGAAAAGTCTATAATTATTTTTCCAGTGAACATTTTGATACGCTTCCGCTGGCACAGGCCCCGACAATTTGCTAAGACCTATTGTTGGAAAATTCACAGATTTTAATGGGCCATTATCAGTTACAGACGGCACGCGGCGATTAGAGGGATTAAAAAACTGGGGAATTCCAAGACCTCCTAGTCTCGTCTTTTATTTTGGTGAGATTAACCCACAATCTATTTTCGGCCTGTAAAAATAAAATTAGAGGTCGAATTTCAATGCTGATAATGGCTGAAAAAGGGTGTTTGGCCGATCGACTAGATGCCCGGACTGCATAATAGGCAGTTACCTGGTATTACTAATGCCTCCAGGTTTGCTATACTTTTCGATTAGAATTAAAATAAATGCAGATGAGCTCGGGACATGCGAGTGCAGTTTGCTCTGAGTCTGATTTCTTGAATTTCTCGATTTCCCGGCGAGATCTGTTGAAGGCAGCAAATCGAAATGGAAACTAATTAGGTGACAAGTGCACCTTATCTGATCGGAACACACATCGATATGGTCACAGTTGAGCGGAATCATCTATAGACTACATATAAGGCGATGTGTATTCGTTGCTCGAACCCCTCCCTCTAGAGGCTATAAAATCAATTGTCACTTGGCTTCCGGCACTCAGTTCTCATCGAGTTCTCGTCCAGGATGGGACGAATTGCGCTGAAGATGCTTCCGCTTCAGGTGTTCCTCATCCTCCAGCTGCTGGTTTCCTTTCCCTCGATCCACTCCATCGAGTTTACTCTGTCTGATATAATTCAATCCGCGGGAAAAGTGGGCTCCAGCATCGTGGATCCCAGTCTTCTGCCCACACCCCAGGGTCTCCTCGATGGCAGCAAACAGCTCATTGCCGGCTATCCCTTTGAGTTCGTCTCCAACTCCATCAATACCATTTGTAAGTACTCATTGGATGTCAAAACATGACCCAAGGTATTTATTTTTAAATAAAATACACGCTCGAAATAATGCTCGTCCTGAATTTTATGAAAAGGAATTTATGGTAATGGTTTTGGAAATTAGAAAAATAATATACCCCTGAAAAGCATTTTCTTTCAATAAAGTAAACTAACAAAACAAAGGGAATATTTTCTAAAATTTTGAAAAAACGTTGCCATTAACTTTGATTTTCTTAAAATTGGGAACATTTTCTTGTGCGCTTAGTAAGTAATTAGTCCTTATTAAGATGGTAGCAGGAAAAACCTTTTTATACATTTTAAGATGGAATTTTATACTAACCCTTTGTAAAAGATTTCAGAAAACTCTATTCTAATTCGAATGTATTTTAAACGCAGAATAAAGAACTATAGTTTCAGAGTAACACTAATTTCTTTTTAATAATAAAATAAGTAAATAGAAAAATCAATGTGATTCTGTAAATATAGAGACCCCTTTAAATATCATTTTTAGGTTCCCAGGCGTTGGCATCGAACAAAATCATGTCGAAATATATGCCGGACATCAACAAAATGAACTTTCAGCTGCATTCGGCCTGCGAAAAGGCCAACTTCCCACTCTCCAATCCGGAGGGCATGTGGAAGAGCCCGCTGTTCGATCCCAAGAAGAAGGTCATCATCCTGGCCACCGGGTGGACCACCACCGTCAATGGTTCGGATACCATCGATGAATTCTCAAAGGCCTACAATTGTCGTGGCGATGTTAACTTTGTGGTGAGTACTGAGTAAAATCAAACACAATTAAATTGTTTGCCTAAAGGCTTTTGTTTACATGAAATTACAATTTCATTATAGTTGTTTATTAAACCAGCTGATAAGGTTTCGATCAGATTAGTTTCGTTTACAAACAGGTTGAACCCATTAGACCTGGATTTAATCTAGATGTTTTTTCATATTGTGTAAATGTAATATTATTTTATTCTTTATTTTGTTTTTTGAAAGAAAGGAGAGGCTTTAGATTGTATTAAAATATTGCAGTTAATATCCAGCATTATAAGCCGCTTAAAAAAATGTTGTTGACAAATTTCTGAGAGCTACAAATGTGAAAGTCATGAATAAGTCAATGAAATCCAGAAATAATACGAGTTTATCAAATGAGCTAATACCGTACTTGATTACACTTGGAGAAATACTAGTTTTAATTTGTATCATAAAGAAAAAAAAAACTTCATCTATATAAGAAATTTTATAGATGGTATTTAATATTATTATTATTATATTTTAATTATTAATTTATTAAAATATTATTAATTTAATTATTAATTAAATTAATTGGGGATATCTATTAAAATATATTTTCAATATAAATATTTGTTAACTAATTATAAATACCCTGTAATTTAGGCGCTGGATGCAGCTCGTTTCGTGGACACCCTGTACACATGGTCAGCCTTCAATACGGAGGATATTGGGGAGCACATAGCCGCGGGATTGGTGAAGCTACTGGACCTGGTGCCGGTGGACAACATCCACCTGATTGGACACAGCTTGGGTGCCCACATAGTGGGATCGGCAGGAAGGCACCTGCGCCGCCTGACCAATCAGACCATACCCAGGATTACGGGATTGGATCCGGCCAAGCCATGTTTCAACGAGGGTGAAGTCCTCTCCGGTCTGATGCGTGGAGATGCTCGCTTTGTGGACGTGATCCATAGTAATCCTGGGGTGCTGGGCAAACGGGATCCAATGGGCGATGTGGACTTCTATCCGGGGGGGATGGGACCCCTGCCGGCGGGTTGCCTCACGGTGACCTGTGCCCATGCCCGATCCTGGGAATATTTTGCGGAGACCATTTATCCGGGAAACGAGATGAACTTCCGGGCCACACGCTGCAATTCCATGTCCCGTCTCCGGGATCTCCGTTGTCCGGGCAACGAGGTGCCCATGGGTTATAACGTGCCCCACGATGTGAAGGGCAACTACTTCCTGGAGGTCAGCGGCTCCTCGCCCTATGGCTCCCACGCCTCCGTTGTCCGAAACGCCCAGTTGGAGCAGTGCGGCAAGTGTCCCTCTTCCTCGACGAAAACTGAGGTGACTGAGGCGACTTCCACGAGGATATCGCGATTGTGGTTCTAAGGAGGTGGGTGAGGTCTTATGTGAGACCTCCCCACAATCTATCCTAAGCTAGTTTTAGGTTTAGTTTTTATATTTTCTTCTTTTTTTTTGGTGATCGTTTGGCCCGACCCGATTGCGGTCGATATGCAATATACAACTTGCCTTCTCAACGTTGACAATTCAATTAAAGTTGTGTTTATTATGCTTATGCAAAGTCCAAACAGCGATGCAAGGAGGCTCTCGAAGTTGGAATACCCTTTCCGTGTGATACCCAAGGAGAGTATTAGTGATAAGTTGGTGAAGCACACCATAAGAAATGATTACCATACTTATGCCCATTTAAATATTGAAATAAAAAGAAATAAATAAATTTTTCTAAATGCGCTAAGTTCATTTTCGAATTCAGTATTTCTAATTTGATATGAAAAATCAGGGACTAAATATTGCAGTTACTATTTGTAAAGTCTTTTAAATTCAAATATGAAGCAACATAAATAGAATTTTCCTAAAAACTGTCTTACTGCACGATTAAAACGAACAGCGGAATCAAATGGGACTTCCTTTCTATCAAGAAAAATTTTGGTGCCCATATAATTCAAAAATCAAAATCCCTAACTTTAGAATATATCAGTCAGGTCTTTTAAATTAAAGTCTTTTGATGACTGTTATACTTAAAAAATTATTGTAAATATTGTTAACTTAAAAAAGTAAAAAAGTCAAAAAATAACTTTTATTCTGTGAGAGATTTAAAAAAGTCTTTAAGTAAATATTATTTTTCTATTGATAATGCAAAAGGTCTTTCCATTTGACTCATAAAAGAAAGTCAAACAAGATACCTGATATTTTAAAAGAGATTGCTGCTACACTCCCTGGATAAAATATAGTTTATGGAAATACAGGTTATTGGATGTGGATAAATGTATTTCCAGAGTATCAAGGTCCTACAAACGTATTCTAAATATAAATTTCTTTACTCATTTTTGAATGAGTAATTAGTAATGCATATTAACAACAGTATAAAAGAGGTCTGGGAAATAATTAGATCAAAATATGGACCCATATTCTTCATACTTGTTTTTTGTATGTTTTGTTGAGATAACAGTATATTAAACTTTTAATATAGCCTATTTCTAAAGAAGTGCCTGCGTATAATATGAATTTAGGTTATATCAAACATACCTATTATGGTCACATATTCCTGGGTACACCATAATACCCCTTAAAATAAACCCGAAAGATAAATAACCTGTGGAAAAGAGGCCGCGGTGTCGCCAATGCCACAAGCTTATGTTTGTTGACTGTTGACTGGAGTTGGCTTTCTGGCCATAATGTTGACCATTATCCGAGTGGCGCCCAGGTACAGTGGGAAATGGGCAGTGGAATCGGATGTCACCTGGTTGTGATCCAGATGAGTTTTATGACCGCCTAAGGTCAGCTGCCTTACTTTGTGTGGTGAATGTTGTCAGGGGAGCGATGATTTCATCTCGTTGGGTTCTATAATATATGGTTATCTAGATGCTCTTTAATGGCCTAGATGTCCCAGATGGATTTGCATCTTTATGGCTGGAAAGTTGTCTTTTCAATGATGCAAATGGATTATTAAAAACGAGTGGCTTTGCTCTATAAACTTGTTGTTTATAGGCCAAGTAGTGCATGTATATTTTTTTTAATATTTAAACCATCACGTAGACATTGAGTGGGGTTGTTTCGGGGCTTTCCCATGTCCTTCGGCTGACTATCACGATCAGGAAATGCCATCGCCGAGATCCAGTTACCTTTCGAACTCATCTCCCCACTGTGCCACTCGGTTTTCAGTTTTTTCGGCCCCTTCACCTGGGATCTACATCTGCATCTGCATCTTCATCTCCATCTCCATAACTTTGTAACTGCAAGTGTCTCCGTTTGCGACTTAAGTTGCCAACTTGACAAATGACTCACCCGACGCCAGCTTCTTGACACGATCTCCTCTTTTCCCGCGCATCTTGCGGCTTAAACCAAAGCTTACAGAGTCCACTACACTGAGGAAAAGAATTGGAAAACTATATAAATTTGGACTACAAATTTGCATGTTCAATGAACATTGTTCATGGTACGAAGACCATATTTCTCATGCTTACATTTTAGCTTTTAGTGTTTAGCTTGAATTAAATAACTGCAGCTATTACTTAAAATCCTAATTTAAAAACGATTTTTTACCAAATACTTACTTATAATAGGAAACAAGTATTTTAAATAATGACAATTTTACAATTTTTCCTCAAACTATATATAAAATGGGTTAAAGTATTTTTGAGTAATCAAGTATGTGAGTCAAGTATTTTTGTTTTAGAATTATAAAATTCGAAAACAAGCTTTTTTCAATGAATTTTATTTGAAATTTTTGTTTCAAGATGATAAGAAAAAGTCAAGAATTGTAAATAATTATATTAACTGGGGTGAAGTACTAAGTAATTGTGAAAATAAATAAATTTACTTAAATTGCTTAGCTGGAACTTAATTTTTGGAGGTGTTGACTGATCCCGATTTCTCCCAGTGCAGCTCTGCTGCAGTTTCCGCCAGCAGCGAGGCGATGCGAGGAAATGATCCATCAAGCGTGTGAGTTATGTACGAATTTTGCAACTTGGCCACATGGTTGGCTGACTTGATGGCTACCCAGTTGCGGCTTCTGCTTGTAAAGCGGTTGACCCTGGTCAAGAATCGGGCGCTCAAAGTGGTTTAATAAACTGAAACTGCAATTATGTACCTGGCCGACCTGGCCCAGCCACCCGCCGTTGGTTCGAGATTTATTTTGTGGATTCTCGACCAGATTAGTCTGGGCCACGCAGTTGCCGCGTTTTTTTGCGATAAATAGCGAGTGGCGATCCAGTGGTTACAGCATTCGAGTGTCACACTTCGAGACGCACAGCGAAAGTAACAAAAAAAAAACCAACCAGGATCTACTCACCACCGAGTCAGGACTTCAAGTTTTTAAAACCGAATCAACCAAGATGAAGGTGTTCATTGTACTCTGCGCTCTGGTGGCCTGCGTTTCGGCCGGAGTGGTACGATCCTCGGGCTGGGGATCGAATCCTTGGGGCAGTGGCAGTTCTGGATGGAACAGTGGTTGGACCGTCCAGCAGCCACAGGTCATTAAGGTCATCAAACTGGGCGGCAACTCTGGATGGGGAGGTGGCAACTCCGGATGGGGAGGCGGCAACTCTGGATGGGGTGGCAACTCCGGATGGGGCGGCAACTCTGGATGGGGCGGTGGCAATTCCGGATGGGGTGGCAATTCCGGATGGGGTGGCAACTCTGGCTGGAGCAGCGGCAACTCTGGGTGGTCTAGTTCCGGTTCCAATAGTGGCTGGTGGTAAAGGATCCTAGATCACTATGGACCACCTCTAGGAAACAAAACCCCATCACCAATCCCGCCCAGTTCCCGCACCCGCCTCCCTCTGCACCTGGTTCACAATTCACGATTTTGTAACATAGTTTTTAAGTACCTTTTTTTTGTGTAACAAATGAATATATAAATAAATCAAATGCATAAATTCAACGAAACTGCGTATTATCGGCAACTAGCTTAGCATTTTTATGATGCATCTTTAAATTATGGATCGTTAGCAATTAACATTCTAAACTTGAAAACCCAGTGTATCTTGCTGAGCAATTATTTATGTTTTTTTGCATTTTGCAAATGATTGTGGAACAGCGTGGTGGTGGCCAAGGTGCCGATGCGATTGGAGTTCAGCGGAGATCATCATCTTAGCGAGGCGGAGGCACCGTGATTCTTTTTCAAAACAACATTCAAAAAATATACAGTTCCTATCAAAATTTTAAGACACTAAGAACCTTTTTGTTTAACTGTTGTTCAATTTTTATCGATTGAGAATATTTTGACCACAGATCGATAGTGTACAGTTTTATAAGTATGCTAAAAATAAACCCTTTGTCATTGGTCCTCTCTTTAAGAACCAGACAAAAATCTTTGTAAATACGTTTTAGCCCATTGGCAATCTTATTAAAATTATAAGACACCAATGATTTTTGGCTCATCCAATGGTCGAACTTAATCCAGATTTTTTTGTACTGTCTCAAAATTAATATGGCTTATATTAAATTGAATTTTTAATGAAATAAACAGCTAAAAAAAAATAAAATAACAAATAAAATATTGAATGGTAATCATACTTATCATACAAACATGGCTTATCATACTTTATCATACCTTTTTATACTGTTACCTGTTAAGAAGAGTAAAAGGGTATATTGTATTATTGTAACAGTTATATGGACGGATTCGTTTGGGGACCCCCCGTGGGACCCCTGTGATCTTGAAAACAATAATCAAGAAGATTCTACGGATTTTGTTTTATTTATGCTAAAAATTATTCAAGTCTCACCATAAATCCAAAATAGATTGGACTGATGCCTGCGAAGCCCATGTTTACATCATCCGAAATTAAGTTGGAATGTTAGTTAATAAGTAAAATTGGTTAGCTGAGTACCGGGTAAATGATAGTCCAAGTATATTTTATTTCGAATCAAAGCCCTTTGAATACCACTGTGTGCAGACAATTTTCTTGGGTCCCCTTTGGTAAAGTCTTGTGAACACAACTGTGGTTAAGACCTGCAGTTGTGCATATGTACAATGTATGGCCGTAGCACGCGTTGGCAGCCAAGAAGAGCTATATGGCCATATTCACCGCCGAGCTGATGAAATTTATGGTAAGTAATGCACTTGAGCATGCACCCAGCCATGTTTGCACGCCAATTGACATTGAACCAGTGTCTGCGGAGTCGTGCCTCGTACATTTAGCGATTCAATTGCGGCTGCTGTATAAATGAAGATTAATTGCCGCAAATATTGCATGGCAATAGAGAGAATCGAAGCCGAAATTGAACATAAATGCGAAATGAAAATTATAGGAGAATCGGTAGTTTATGATCACCATTCAAATGCTCTGTGGCATGAGAAAATTCTAGTTCTATGATGTGTAAACATATTTTTTGGAGACAGTCTTTAGTTGTTTAAGTCCCCAATATTTTTATCATTTAACCCAATGATTTGTTAATCTAAAAAAAAACAATTAATCTAAAAAAACCATTTCGTAGATACAATATTTAAATGTTACAAGATATATCACTAGTTTTCACTTTTAGGCTTAAGGTTTTATTGAAATATATGATAGGTTTGCCTTTTTAAAAGGTTTCAAGTGGATAGATAAAAATAAAGTAATCTTTATACACGAAAAATACATAAAAACGTTGTATAATTTGTATATATAAATATCTTTCTTTATTTCCTTCTAATTTGTCTGGCTATCTTGAATTCCCCGACAAATTCTCACACTCCACAGCGCCAATAAATGTGAACCACAAGTTCCACAATTCACTTAGCCCCGCCAAGCGGTAAGTCTTGAACATTCTTAGAAAAAATAATTAAGAAAAATTCAACAACAAATTGCATGGCCGGCAAAAATAAAAAATAAAAAAATGCCTAGAATTTCGCATGGAAATAGTAAACTTGTAAGACAAATTGCAAGGCGTTTTGGTGGCCAAATGTGCTATGTGCCATAAGCTATTCGCGGGCAATTAATGATGCAGCCATGGCTCAGCAGTTTGCAAGTGCTGCGGTGGCGTATACGCGATGTTCCCAGCCGGCGCACATTGCGTATCCGCCGAGTGCGCCAATGCGCCGGCGTACTTGAGAACTTTTTTGAGCCAGACAAGCTGCTTGCCAAGTCGCATTGTGCCGACGTGAAGTGCAGTTCTCAACCTTCCTTTGGGAGCTCGACTGGAGTTTCGGAGGGATGGCAGGCTGCTGACTCAGCCGAAGTTTCCGCCTTTCGGAGCTATAAAAACATGGCTCAGTTCTGGGTTGGTTCATCAGTGGTGTTGAGCCTCCAGCAGCGTTTGGATTGCACAGAGTTCGGTTCCAAGTTGGCCTAATATTTTTTTCTATATTTTTTTTGAGTTTCATTAAAGGATGCGTCACTTTGTGATCCTTGTTTTCGTGTGCGGTCTGATGATCGCCTTTGCCTCAGCCGGTTTGCTGGGTGGAGGAGGCGGTGGCGGTGGCTACGGCGGTGGTGGCGGTAGCGGCGGCGGTGGCTACGGTGGTGGAGGCGGTCAGGGTGGCTGGCAGAAGGGCGGAGGAGGCGGTGGTGGCGGCCAGGGAGGCTACGGCGGCGGTAGCCAAGGTAGGTGCATCATACTCCTAGTGCTGAGGCATTCAAGTTTTAACCCCTAGCCACTTAGTTTTCCATGTCACATATGTTTGTGCAACATTTCTTATATCCCGAATTACGGCTTAATATAGCCCTCTAATTTCAAACTCTTTTCTACACAATAATTAAATTGTTTTTGAAATTTTAGATCTTATTAAAAAATTCTATTCTTAGAAATTAATTACTATATAAGCATATTTCCAAAGTTTGTCTTTATATAATACCTTTTTTTATACCTTCAACTGTTTTCTAGGTAATTTTAAAACATATTTTTTTATAAGCAAGCCATTAACCAAAATTAAATAAACAAAACGTCGAAACATTTTTTATACCTAATTTTTATAATCAAAAATATTTACTCATTCAGAAATAATGAATTAATGTAAAATCGATTGAAAATTATATACGATAAGTGGGCAGAGAAAATAAATACCTCTAGTTTTGAAAATATAAGTAGCACTCAAAAAAAAAATTGCCCTGAATTATATACATTTTGAAGTTGTTGACGAATTTTTTTATAAATTACAAAAGGTATCTAAGTAGTATATTTTATCCAGTAAATTAAATTTACCAAGTGAAAGATTTTTTTATGAATTGTAAAAACGTCTTGATTAACTCCAAATATCTCAAATTCATGGTAAATATTTTATCGAGTGTAGGTTCCCAATTTGTGAGTTTTGATATAGATTTTGACATATATTTCCTACTCTTACAGGTGGACATGGAGGCGGTGGCCAGGGAGGCTGGCAGAAGAATGGAGGAGGCGGTGGTGGCGGCCACGGAGGCGGTGGACAGGGAGGCTACGGCGGCGGTAGCCAAGGTGCTTGAATATTTTATAAATATTTTGTTATGTATTATATTCCATAAATCATTTTCATGTTGACCTTAGGTGGCCATGGACAAGGAGGCTACGGCGGCGGCCAAGGAGGTGGCCATGGAGGCGGCAGCAAATCCCTGGCCGGAAATCGCGGCAGTTCCGTTTCCTGGCAGGGCGGAAACGGAGGCAACAACAAGCACGGAGGCGGCGGTGGCGGAGGAGGCGGTGGCCTTTATGGAGGTGGTGGCGGCGGAGGTGGCAAGCAACACGGTGGTGGCTGGTAGATACCTCGCCAAGAGCAGCTTACCCATCACCCCCGACTGGTGCTGACCTGTGTTCCATGGCATAGAGATAGAGACAACCCCCTGGATCTTCCTGTTTTCTTCTATCCAAGGCCCTTTCAATTCTGATATTACTGTTTTTTGTACTAATAAAACTATTTTATGCATTTTGTAAATCTTATGGGTTTCCTTTGTTGAATGAAATTATGTGGGAAGTGTATTTGAATGGAATTACTAAATTCTGCATATAGTAAATACATACTTGCAACTATTATTCTTCTGACCTATATATAGTGAAATTTACTTTTCCAAAATACATTCCGTTTTTTAATGATAATGTTATGTTTAAGGTATCATCTAGAACGTTACAGTGAAAATAAAAGAGGCAAAGCGACAAAGAGGTAAAAAGCTTATTAGTGAGAAAAATGTAGTGGCAGTCGCAGTTAGTTTCCCTTTATGAAAATCATAAGAAGAATTATTAATAATATTACAGTGGCAGTGGGGCTGGGTTCTTGCGCTTTGAAAAATAAATAGAACATTTTTAATTTCATTACCGGTTAAAAATTTCTAGACTATACTATCAACATATTTATTCGAATGGTTATATACTTTGATATTTAAGCATTGAAAATTTCGTCTTTCAAATCATCTCGCAGAGAAATTAGTTTTCCTAGAAACCCTTTTAGAAGGCCCATGCTCACCGACGTTTTTAAACGACTCTACTCATCATTCTCTACATTAAATATGGGAACAAATATTTAAAATAACTCTTAAAAACATACAAAAGGTTTGGGTCGAAAAGATTCTTTTAGTTTTCTTAAACAAATCACAAAGTCATTTTAATGCGTAAGATCCTACCCCTCAATGAATTTTAAGGTATATTTTTTTCACTCATTGAATAAAAAATACTATTTCTATTTGATTTTTGGATCACAAGTTTAAATATATGATCTTGACCAATTTGTAAATAAGTTTAAGGCACAAAAATCACTCACCCTTTTTTTTAAGAAAATTCATGATAGAAATTACTTTCTTGTAAGATTTATTCACATATTTAGAAACACAAAAAAAAATTATTGATTAAGTTTAGCGCAGAGAATGTTATGTACAAGTTGAGCAGTGGATCTAGAGTCGCCTCGTCGTCGGTTCGCCTCGATTGGATGTCGTCGCGTGTCCAGGATCTGTTTACCAGCTCCAGCCGCCGCTTCCGCCGGATGACCAGCCGCCACTTCCTCCTCCTCCTCCGCCGGAGGACCAACCACTGCTGATCTTGCTGGGCCAGGCGGAGGATCCGCCACCGGATGACCAACCGCCTGAGCCGCCGCCGCTCTTCCAGCCTCCTCCTGATCCGCCACCAGATGGCCAGCCGCCTCCACCGCCTCCACCGCCGCCGCCGCCGCTCTTCCAACCGCTGCTCAAGCTACCCAAAGCCTGGGATTTCCAACCGGAGAGACTGGACAGGGCACTGGATAATCCCGAACTGCCGCCGGACTTCCAGCCGGAGGAACCGCCCGAGCTGGGCCAGCCAGAGGATCCGCCGGAGGACCAACCGCCAGAGCCACCGCCGCTCTTCCAGCCACCGCCTCCGGAGCCACCGGATGGCCAGCCACCACCGCCGCCGCCTCCACCGGATGACCAGCCTCCTCCACCGCCGCTCTTCCAGCCTCCTCCTGATCCGCCACCAGAGGACCAACCTCCTCCGCCGCCACCGCCGGATGGCCAGGCACTGATGATGACCTTGCTGCCGCCCGATCCACCGCCGGAGGACCAACCGCCTGAGCCACCGCCGCCGCTGCTCCAACCATGTGGTTTGCCCTGGGCCACCAGGCAGCCCAGCACCACCAGCAGACCGAGAAGGCCAAGTCGTCGCGTTGTCATTGTGGTTTGCATCTCCGCAGCTGCCGTGCACTAACTAATGCCCCACTGCAGCCACTCTCGACTATTTATACCAGAATCCAAGATTCTGAGCCACCAAGCCAGTGAGCCACAGCTTCGCCACAGCCGCTGCCTCGTATAATCAGATGTAATTGCCAAAACTGCCAGCGACCAGCTTACAATGGCCAGTGGCTGGGTGGTGCTTCGGGTGGTGCGGAGAGGGTTGGTTGGTGGCTAAACTCACCTCAGCACTTGGGCCTCATTATGCCAACTCCGACTTTCGATTTCGTACGCTCTATGGGCCCACGTAGGTCGGCTGTTCTGCGCCCAGCAAACGCCTCCAGCTGGAGCACCTGACTTGGTATATAGGAAACACTGGACTGCAGCAGAATCAGGCCTTCAGGACAATGGAAAAAATCTATCAGGCAAAAACAACTCTTAATGAGATAAACAAATAGTGACGATCGCACCTTTTACGTAACAAACTCCGATATTAGCTCTTGTGACTAAAAATGTTTTTACATTCCACTAAATAAATACACGATCCAAAATTTACTCATTTTGGTCAAAATGTAGTAAGTAGTCTCCACGCGATTCGTTACTAAGTGAACTGCCATTCACAGTGATAGGAGGAGCACTGGACTGCAGCAGATCCAGGCCTTCAGGATAATTGATATAATCTATTAAACAAAAACAGCTCTTAATGAGGTAAAAATAATAGTGACGATCGCACCTTTAATATAAAAAACTCCAATATTAGCTTTTGTGACGAACAATGTTTTTACATTCCACTAAATAAATACACTATCCAAAAATTACTAATTTTGGTCAAAATGTAGCAAGTAGTCTCCACTCTTTTCGTCACTACGTGAACAGCCTTCCACAATGATAGGGGGTAAGTTAAGTATGGAAATATAGAAAATCAGAGATAAGATGTTTACATCTTTTTAAAGCAATTAAAAAACTTTATGGTATTTTCTGTAATATGAAAGCAAATAACATTTAATCATCATTAATCATTCAATTATCGTAAAATTAAGGATTTTTTATTTGATACTGGTTATTACCCATTATTTTGTAATTTTATGGAAAATGTGGCAATATCTGTGGCACCGCTGATGTAACATACATTTCTATTCTCCACATCCTGATACAAAATATTATATAACATTGGTAAAAATAAATATTATTACAGTAAATAACTTAGAATAGTATATAGTAAATTTGATGCATAATTTCTTAAAAAATTAAGTTAAATGTATATTTAAAAAAAATGAGAATTGCCTGTTACAAATTTTTAAGGATAAAATAAAACATTGATTAAATAAGTCTATAGACTGTTAATAATCAACTATTTTTTTTTTACACCATTCCTAACATTACAGATAAACGTTTCATTTTTGCTTGTAGGCTAGTGTCGCCCAGACAAGCTGATACCGCATCATGAACATCGATCTATTGGCTCTCCATTTTAATGTAGCAACCGCAAAGTACTTAATTGAGTTCGCCTGCCGGCGTTTGGATGGCCAGATATCCATAGGAATTGGAGCTTGGGGAGCCAGGGATCGATTCTTTATGCCTGCCCATTATTCAGAATGGCGATGGCGATACAGATGGAATTGGTAATGGTAATGGAATCGCAGATTGCAGATTGCAGGTGGAGGTGTGCGATGGTAATGGCGATGGGGATGGGATGGGGATGGGGATGGAGATCTGAGATCGGAGCAGCTGCGTGTTTGTCTTTTTGGCTACCGTGCTGCGGTTGCACATAATTCGTGCTGTCTGGCAAATCGGGTCGCCGGCAAATCAATCAATCAATCGATCGGGGCTTGGGTCCAATTGTTCGGGTGCAACTTATGAGTTGACACAGAGCCCATCACAAGAGATTGATGGGTTTCACAAGAAGGTGTCTCACCCGATGAGCCGTCCTAGTTGGTATTGTATGCTTTATTATTCTAAAGATTCAGATCATTGCCGTGGTCTAACCATAATTGGTTTCATCACCTATGCACTTGTACATCATTTAAAATAAGTAGGGAAACTGAAGTTCTTATACCCTTAAAGAAATCATTCCTATTCCTCATGTTATTCAAATTTATTTTTAGAATTTAATAAAACATAATGCATTTAAGAATGATTAAATTACGCATTATGTATGAATATTTGTGTATCTTTATTATAGAAGCAGTTTTAATAGCTCCTAAATCATTTGTAATCATCAATGATTAACATATTAATCAAGCAATAAAGTTAGTAGTTATATCGAAGATAAAAAGATTTTAAAAAGCATGTACAAACATATTACAAAAGTGTTAATAAATAGAAAAATTCAGTTTTTCAACCAAAATTATTCACACAAAAGAATCTTTAAGAACAAAGAGTAGCATGAATATTTTCTAAAAATTAAAATCAGTCTATCTTGTCCCAAAATGCTAATTATAGACGTCTGATCGGCCAATTCTAGAACCGAACCACTTGAACCTTTTGGCTTTTGCACGTTTCCACCGCTGGCCGCATTTTAAATCATGGGCGGCATAAAAATCAAATTTGGCTCTTTTGTGCGATCAACTGGCAGTCGATCGTTTTCGACGGAATGATCGATCGCCATCGATGGTATTCAATAAAATGCGCTCTTTTCGTTGCGCAAGTGCTGCAAGTGAATAAGCCAAAAAGAAAAAGAGTGGAAAATCGCCTAAGTACCTGTCCCATTACCATTTTATTTCGTTTGGCAGGTGATGACCTCAACCATTTGGCCATTGGGTCAGAGTCAAACTTAGAGCAGGAAACCAAAGTCCCACCAACCGGTTCCCCTACCAATCACAAAAAAACACCCAATTAAAAATGGAAATTCTTTTCTTGTGTATTGCATAAATTCTAACAAACAAATACCTCTAAAATATATATATAAAAAAAAATGTAGTAAAACCTAAGCTGCTTGGCTTTTTGTTTGGCAGTTTGAACTATTCGAGGTTGGTCCATGACAGGGTCCTTCCTTACCAGCCCTTGTTCCAGCCGCCACCCGAGGACCAGCCTCCAGATTGAGCACCACCCGAGGACCATCCTCCAGACTGAGCGCCACCGGAGTATCCGCCGGAGTAACCACCGGAGTATCCACCTGAGTGGCCACCAGAGTATCCCTCGTTGATGACCTTCACGATGATCACCTTCTCGACGGGCCTGGGGGCAGGAGCAGAGTATCCGCCACCGCCGGAGTAACCGCCACCGTTGGACCATCCGCCGGAGTAGCCACCGCCGTTAGAGTAGCCACCACCGCCTCCTCCGCCGCCACCGCCGCCGCCGAGCTTTCCGCCGAGGCCACCGCCCAATCCTCCGCCAAGACCGCCCAGCTTGCTCTGCAGCAGCTGTCCAATGCCACCGGATCCACCTCCAATGGAGCCACCGCCTCCACCGCCGCCGCCAAGAAGACCGCCCAGGGAGGCCTGACCAACGGACAGGATGGCGGCAAGGATCACCAGGATGCAGGCAAAGGGTTTCATCTCGAGTTAGCGAATGGGTAACAAACGGTTTCAAACAGCTGACCAAACTAATTCCATCGACCGCCGGCACACGCACCTTTATACCCCCGAAAAATCCGATTGAGATGGGGGGGGGCCCAATTAGAAGCCATTGATGGGCAGAGCGACCAGAGCAGCATCATTTTCGGCTTCGGCTGCGATTTCATAATAACCCACATTCGCCTATGCTCGCCGGCGGTTCTTTTGTTTGCCTATGCTAATCTGTGCGCATGCGCGGCTTACTTCGGTTACTTCGGATGAGGAACCGCTTCTCCTCCAGCCGGCACAGTGGGATGAGAGGTGCTAAATCGGGTTGGGGGCGTTGGGAAATCGAATGAAAACATTATCTGGGCGGTGATGAGAAGAGCACACATTTGGGCTAACCAGAAAGTTACATATACACTGTAGAAAAAAAGGGGATTACTTACTTTAATAGAGTACAATAGCCTAAAGTTAAATTTTACTTTATCAAAGTACACCAATACCTGATTTGAGAACAATACATATGTTAAGTACGTTTCAAAAATCATTACATATTAATTAAGAACAAGAACTTCGTTTAATTAAAAGTAGATTTATTCAAAAACGGCTCCATGGCTTGTATAGTCAACAAGCTTTATTCGACATGATCTCTTAAATAATTTTTTACTGATCTAAAACAAAAGGCAGCATTGATACTGATGAGGCTCGATTCAAGTAACATTTTGTCTTGTACCAAGAATAACGTACCTATTTTCTTTAAGTCAACTAAATTTGTTTTTAACCATAGCTTAACTGCTACAATTACTAATTTGCCTTCTGTGCTTACCATACAAGCATCAACCATATAAATAATATTAATTATTCCTACAGTTCCCAATTTTGTAGTTTTTTAGCACAACATTTTAATTATGTTAGCCTTTTGTCAAGTTTCAGCGTGGTAGTAATATTGTAGAATATTTTCTAATTATATTATAGAATTAACTTTAATGTAGTTGAAATTTGTATACTCGTTTTTCGGTAAGTAAAAGTGATATTGTATTCGTTAAAAAGTAAAAACTATGTAGAAAAAGAAGTCTTCAATGTTTTCCGAGCTAATGAAACTGCATCTGGCGCCATCTACATCTGGAGTTGTACTTAATTTGGTATTGCTTATCAGAAAAAAGGGTATTTAATAGTGGAGTAACTTTACTAAGTATATAAATTGTTGAAAATAATCAATCAATTGGGTTTTTTTTAATGAAAACCTAGAATACCCAGTGCTAAGCCACTGTGCCAATCGCCGAAAGTCAAACAAATTATCGGCATTTAATCACCGCGGCCGGCGGTGGGCAACAATGGGGCGAAAATCAACATTTATATCAATGTTTTGTCAGTTGGCCGGCAGAGAGTTTGGGCCAAAAGCAGAAGCAGAAGCGGCTAAACTGAAGTGTCAAACTGATGAATGGCCCCGGGTATCGGACTTAAATCGTGAGTTCTGCCCCAAGGTTCAAACTTTGCAGTGGAAAAACTAAGGCATCTTCCTGCTTTGACCAGAACTTATTACTGAGTCGAATTCGTTCGGAGGCCTTTTAAAATGGGTGTTTGTATCCCCAATACCCTTAACAATAGCCCACATCATCGCATATTAATACTTTGGAAACCGGTTCGGCGATTCTATTTCTATGCTTCAGTTTGGCATATATTTGCATAGTGGCTCGGCGGATATGGCAGATTGCCTGGGAATTTTGGTCGGCCCTCTAGTTGTCAGTACTAACCCGAAAGATAAACACTCTTCAGAGAACTCTCCCACAAGTCCAAGGGTTCAATGCACTCCACCAAGCACACGCCTTAAATATCGGAAAAAATATGATCTAAACAGAAAGAAGAAAGTCTCCGATTTTTGTTGTTTATTTTTTAGCAAGTTTGTTTCAATCTTTGGCATTTACATACTCGTTCTTAGGCCCATGAATATTCAAATCGTATTATTCGATTATACTTCAAGCTGTAAGCTACCAAACCAACGACAGCATTCGATTGGTTAACTTATCAATTAAGTGGAAAACAAGTTGGCCAGCAGAAAGAAGTAGCAAGTAGAGGTCTATGAAGTGCTGCTCTCGGGGTTTAAAACAGATGAGTGACGGCCACTCGAAGCTAGGAAATATCAATTTTAATAAGATTTCCTCATTATCGATTTATTGATTTAATTATCAAATTAAAAGACGGTCATGAATGGAGAAATAAGTGGCTTAATAAACATTTTCAAACAGGGAATATATTACCATAAAAGGTAAACTAAAATGTTGCAGCATTATTTTATTTATTGTACTGCATTTAGAATTATAAGATCTATTATAAGATGATATCATATTTAATTTATTCAAAGAACTTTGGACTTGTTTTTAGTTTTTTTTACCAACTTAATTTAGATGTTGTTCCTTTAAGAACCTATTTCAATAATTTTGTTAGGGTCAAAAAATGTTTCCAGTTCTAAACGTTTTGATCCATATTTCAAGGGTGCCCTTAAAGTTATATTTTAATAAACGAGTTTGGAATCACTTCTGGTTTGCTGAATAACCTACTTAGAACAGGTCAGTTCGAATGATCGGCTAGACCCCACCTCCCACTGAATGTCCAGCCCATTGTTAATTCAAGATGCGAATACATATGATGTATATACACACTTAAATTTAAATCTGCCTTACAATAGCGACTATATTGTAATGACCGAACCTACAAAACTATTTCCCATCGCTTCGCCTTCGGGCAGTTGAAGGCTTCTATTAAAAAACAACAGAATTAACATATTTAATTGCGAGTTATGTACCCAAATGAAATTACCAGTGCAATAGTAAACACAAAGGCAAATATGGATAGAAACCGAAACCGAGACCAAAACACCAGTCAAAAAGTGAACGGAGTAATGATGCTGGAGGAGAACTTTGGGTAGAGTCATCACATCGCTTAAATGGGAGGGCATTACGGCTGAAATTGATGACACTCATAAATAAGTTGGTAATATGTAATGATAATAACTAATATTGTGCCAACATTAATTCAATTCCAAATGCGAATTTGCAAGTTGGCATAGAAAATTGCCCGGTGCATTTGCCTTTTTATGGGCAATCCAGCAGACACATAAATAACCATCGCACATTGCATCTATCTATATTCCTATCACATATATATAGTTTGATCATCTCGGTGCTGAGATCTCGTACATATGCAAAAGGCAAATTGATGGCAGACAGGCCCATATAAATATAAGCTAATTACACTGCCTTGCCGGAACATCGGCGATGGGGTCGTAAAACATCGATAGTTAATGGCTGGCTAATCAATTGCACTCTCCCATCAATCACTAAAATCTGCTTGGGAGGCGGGTCCGTCTAGGCTCATAAAAACCAGGATGAAATCATCCCCTTTTAAAAAATTACGAAAAAGCTAAAGAAGTAAAGATACTTTCACAAACATTTTGTATTACACTTCAATGTTCAATTGCTTTTTACCATTTACTATATATTTATTAACTATATAAAATATTATGATATATAAATAATATGATAACTACTAGTCTAAAGCTTTATTGAGGAAGCACTTGATACGTAAGTGCATATAGGGCGAAAAAATGGGATTCAGATTTTGGCCAAAAATATGATTTTTTTCCAGTTTTTCAATCGTAGTTTGGTCAAATCAAGGCGTACAGCTACAAGACCGACAGTTTTGAGCAGCTTGCTGCATATGCTATCGATCCCCATCACTTTAAGGAACATTTATTTTTTGACCCATTTTCGCATTTTTTGTAAGGGGTTGCATCATCTTTTGCAAATAATGTGAAAAGATAACAATTTCCAGGTTAGAACGTCAATGGATTGGAAATTAAGCAACGAGCTCTACGAGGTATGACATTCCTCGATCTGACGTTTATTTCCTTTTTAGCGTCCAAAAAACTGAATATTTAGGGCGAAAAATGGAATTCCGACTTCAGTCAAAAATACGAGATTCAGATTTTAGTCAAAAATACGATTTTTCTCTCAGCTTAATGCATCGATTACCAATTAAAATGCTCAAGGCGTTAAGAATATGAAATATAGCTTTAATTATCTTCCAGTTCCATTGACCAAATTAGTTTCAAATAAATTTCCCAATCAAAGATATACCGCAGCGTTAATCTTTGAAATGTGCATCAAGAGTTTGTCAAACACCTGAGAGCCAAAAATAAAAACAGAAAACCAGTTGAAAAAACTGCAAAAACCAAAACAGGTTGCCACACACGCACACATAATTTATCCAGATTGGTGTAAATAAATGTGAGATGCCCATTTGTTTATAAACAAACATGCGAATCGTAATGCGTTTGTCCAAGGCTCCCTGGTAACCGTATACCCAAAGCCAAAAACGCACATGGCAAACTCAAACGAGACTCGTTGACGCCGCAACTTCATGATTATCGATTCAAAGACAATGCCAGACAAAGAAAATCAGCGGATTCAAAGTCAAACAACGATTGCCAGCGGAAGTAAAACAAAGCGAAATACACAAAAAATACACAAAAAACTGAAAAGCTACGAATCCGATTTTCGTATAAATCATTGACAGTCAATAAACTGTTTAACTTCATGTTGAGCACACACTCTTGAATTAAGTGGATGTTTTATGGGCTGGTGTCAAGGATTGGCGTTAACACCTTAGGTTCCCCGCCCTGACCATAAAAAACTGCAATAGATTAATATTTATAGAAAATCCTTTAAAGTTCTCTTCCTTTTTCTTCTTCATGAACTTTCGCTTTCGGTGGCAACGGCTGGAAATGACCTTGAACTTCAGTAATCCATTACCCCCTCGCAAGGGCAGGGCGTAAAGCAAAGAGCAAAGTTGTAAACTGGTTTCTTCGTGCCAGCAAACGAAAGACTTAGGCAACGAACTTTGCCACAGCGCCATCTGGCGCTGAAGATGCGAAAGCTCTCTGCGCAAAAAAGCTGTAGGCAGTACACTGTTAAAAATAAGTACATATTTAATAAACTTAATCAAAAAGATACATTCTGAAGTTCTTTATTTGTATAATTAGATTTCGGTACTACAGTTAGCTCTAATAGATAACCATGTAACTCGTAAACTATCTGTATCTTTTGAGTTTTAACGTTGTTTACTGCGCCAACCGATTTGATTTCTTTCCTATAAATCGTTCTCTTTCTTAGAAAATCAAGTGTGGACCTCGTTTAATAATGCCTAAAGCCAGAATTCGGGCGCATTTTTTTCTTTTTCAAATTTTGTATTTTCATAAAACATGTACAAGATAAAATAAAAATAAAATATGCCGAAGTATCTTAGCGATTCAACTTGTTCATGAAGCTTTAGAAGTGATTATTTAAATAAGTTAAAAATGAATAAGTAGTTAATTTTTTCCTAAAACTCAACCAAATCCGTACTTTTTCTGGGTAAACACGTTTTTCCGAAAACTTTTGAATGCCCTCCCAAATTAAGGTAGCTAAGTTATATTTTCTTTTCGGTAAAACATGTGTATATAGTAAATTTTAATGGAACATTATCTTAATATATCTGTGATTATTTTGTATTTTATAAAAATCGGAAAGCGTTATATATACATTGATCCCACATAAACGACCTGCAAGAATTTATAAACTTCGGCTTTCCGAAGTTAGCTTCTGTTTTTGTTTTCGACCATTTTTGTGTTTACCATTTCTAAGTTTTTGATTCCTTGTTGAAAGCTTACCCTAGACTGCACTTAATGGTTTTTTTGCGGAATAATCTCCAGTAAAGTTTTTATTTTAGCACCGAATAAGCTTATTTTTACAAAGAATTGCCAAAATAATAAATGATCACTAGCTTAAATCTTAGCCTAGTTCGCAACCACTAAATCTAAGTTTAAAAGCGAAGTCAACAACCTATTTTTAAGGAAACGAAAGACTTAGGAAGCAAACTTGTACCAAACAAATAACAAAGAAATTAATTTGTACGTTTAAATTTTATTGGTCGGACTCGGTTGCACATGTTGGGTAATAGATTTTTTGGAAGTCATTGTTTAATCGTTCCACCAGCCAGCTCCTCCACGGGAGCCACCGCCGTAGGCACCACCACCTGCACCGTAGGCGTGACCTGCACCACCGGAAGCGTGGTTGACGGTGTAGTCGAACTGGGCGGGGTTGCCCCAGGCGTTGCCTCCAGCTCCTCCGGCACCACCCTGCCAGCCTCCTGCTCCTCCGGCTCCACCCTGCCATCCTCCGGCACCACCGCGGCCAGCTCCAGCTCCTTGCCAGCCTCCAGCACCGCGTCCACCGCCATAAGCACCTCCTGCTCCACCACCATAGGCACCTCCTGCTCCACCGCCATAGCCAGCTCCTGCTCCACCACCGCCAATATGGACCTTAGTATTGCCCTGCGACTGGGAGACGTGGGACACCAGACCAGCTCCAATAGCCGGGCGGCCACCAAAGCCACCGAAGCCGCCGGAGCCACCACCGTGTCCTCCACCAGGCAGATAGCCACCGCCTGCTCCACCGCCGGCACCACCGCGGAAGCCACCAGCACTGGCCAGAGCCAGAGAAGCCAACACGCAGACAAATACCTAAAGAGGATTCGATTTAAAGGTATTAAATCTACTTAGTCCTTCAAGTGCTCCTTGAATTCTTACCTTCATTCTGGAATTAAAAGTTGATTAGATTTGAGATTCTGATCGAAGCTGAGATCCAATGGTTTGTGATGTCTTTGGTTCAAGACACACTTGAATTTATAGTCCAAATCCTATGGATCTTCTTTGGCTAATGATCTGGTCAAGAAAACAGCAAACAAACAAAAACAAAATCAATTTCAATTTTCAAAAAACCAAAACATCAATTTGCTGCGCTCAATCATTAGATTCTCCAGCCCTCTGAACTCATCTTTATCTTTAGCTCTTCGAATGCTGCTCTTCGCCTTGGTTTCCTTGGCTTTAATTAAAAGTCACAAATTAATTGCATGGCGGCAATTAGCCTTCAGGCTGCCGATTGCCCAATTTCAGCCAAGCTGAGCGTCTTAAAAGCCCGAAAAGTGGACGCAGTGCGTCCAGTTTATGCCCATGTTGCTGTGTGGGCGCTTCACCCACTCCTGGCTGCTCCTTCATTTTTTGGTTACATTTTTTTTTCTCTTTTTTTGAAAGTGAACAATTTGTTTGTTATGCAATGCAGGCAATGCAGCAATGCAACACATCAACTTGACAGAAATAAAGTGGAACTCTTACCGGGGCAAAAATGCTGTGAATGGGAAATATTTGAAATGGGGAAGTCAAATATTTTGGCATCCTACCCGGCTGGAAAGCGAAATTGTATTTCACCTGGAAAAGTATGCAAAGTCACCATTAATGACCTAGTGAATTAGGATTTTTTTAGAAAACTTACAAAGGTTTTTCTGGCAATGCTTTCTGATTTGTGATTCAATCTTATCTTGCATTCACTTTTTATACAATCTTTTGTAGTCCGCGAATGACGAAAATTGCATAAGCTCTTAAGCCAGTAAAAATAAATCTTGGAACCATTTAATCAATAGTTTGATAAGAATCATTCAATTATATTTTTTCTCTGGGCAAAAAATACAGATGGTAAAAATGTCTTAAGAACAAGTGACACTTGCTTGATTTTGAAGTTTTGATTTAATATATAAATTGGTAAAATGATGTTGGACCCTAGACTTTTTTTATGTTGCCATGCGTTTTTAAAATAATTCCAGTCAGTAAATCGAATGTTTTAGCTTAGAACTCCTCATAAAAATTAATATTAATTTAGTCTACAAGTCCAAAAAAAAGAGTTTAAAATAAGGAAAACTGAAATATAACCTCATAAAGCATGAGTATCATTCTTTTCACTTTCTAACGTATTTAGACCGCATTCATTTCAAACATATTTAATCCAAACTAGTAAACAATACTTCTCCATTATTAAAATTGGGATGATGGGCTTATAAAGTAAGCGATTAGAATCCCACGGAATAGAATCCTTAGAGAATAACTAAAATATCTCCTTCCAAAACATGTAAATCATTCTTTTTCACTTTCCAAAGTATCTGGATCGCCTTCATTTCAAACATATTTTAGCCAAGCAAGTAAACATTATTCCTCCATTACTAAAATTAGGCCGAAGGGCTTATAAAGTAAGCGATTAGAATCCCAGAGAATAGAATCCTTAGAGAATAACTAAAATATTTTCTTCCAAAACATGTAAATCATTCATTTTCACTTTCCAAAGTATCCTTTCAAACATATTTTATCCAAGCAAGTAAACATTATTTCTCCATTATTAAAATTAGGCTGATGGGCTAATAAAGTAAGCGATTAGAATCCCAGAGAATAGAATTCTTAGAGAATAATTAAAATACAAACTATTCATTTTCTCTTTTTAAAGTATCTGGATCGCCTTAATTTCAAACATATTTTGCCAAACAAGTAAACATTATTTCTCCATTATTAAAATTAGGATGATGGGCTTATAAAGTAAGCGATTAGAATCCCAAAGAATAGAATCCTTGGATTATAACTAAAGTATCTTCTTTTTAGTTATGTAAATCATTCATTTTCACTTTCCAAAGTATCTGAATCTCATTCTTTTCGATCATATTTTTGCCATGCAAGTAAACATTATTTCTCCATTATTAAAATTAGGCTGATGGGCTTATAAAGTAAGCGATTAATTGCTTATTAAACGGTTAAGTTGGATTGCTAGAAACGCAAGTGCAGCTGTAAGTGGTCGATGATGACGAAGTGGGTCTGTCGCACAGCCTTATCTGTAATGGAACAACTTGGCTGGCAAATGGGTGCTGGCCATGATCGATCGAAATTTATGCGAGGAAACCCGCACAGAAGCCAATGGTCTGGTTCATAGATCACCTGCGATGCAGGGTATTCAAAGTGGTGGGACTGCGTCCCAGCCACTCTCTTTTTGATTTTTTTTTTGTATCTTCCACCGTTTTTCTCAGCCGGAGAAAGCCTCTCTCCCTGTGGGCCATTTTCTCAGCGCTCTGGCTCTCTGTTTGATTTGCCGGCTTTCGCTCTTTGGGATAATTTCGGGCTTCGTTGGGGCCGCTACAGATTTGGCCAAATCATTCCGTTGCCAACGTTGTAACTGGAAAACGTGTTTGCCGGATCGTCGGCGTCGCGTCGTCGTCTTCGCCGTTTTCCTCCTGACTTTTCCTGACCGCGACTCGTCGTCCACTTTATTTTTCCCAGTGATTAATAGCCCTTCCATTATCGGGAAAACTCATCTTCAACCCCCAGCATCCATCTTAATGTGCGTGTCAACTAGTGTTCTTTTGTTTGTTTTTTCCTGTTCATTTGTCATAATTGGCAGCCAATCGAAAAAGTTAATGAAAAATACGAAATAAGATTAATATGCTGTGTTAATGTTGAGAAATATTGCCGAAAGGAATACAGCAACGAGCGCTTGAATTTTGAAAATTAAATAAGTTAAACGGTGAGTCGAAAATAAATGATAATTGAGAGTAAAATGTAAAAAATAAATCTAAAAGTGTTATTTAATTATAATAATAATTTAGTAATCAATGGTATTTAAATTCAAAGTCTGATATTGTTTAAAAATAAAATCGAAGCTTAAAAATATTCCCTTGAAAATGCAAATAGAGTTCATCAAACAATGGACGAAAAGTGAAATAAAGCCATCATAAAACTATACTTTTGCATACACAAAGAAATGTGGATAGTTAAACTTGTGAAATAATACATTAGCATTTATAGGGTTTTTTGTTTCTAAAGACATGCAACATTTGCCTAAATACTAATGACTTATTTAAATGATTTTCACGTGTAGTGGGCAGCAAAATCATGCCATTAAAACCAGCATTTAGAATGAAGAACATGGCCAAAAACAGACATGATCCATCTCAATTAAACCCATTCATTAATAGACTTTCGTCTTTAACTAGTTTTGTTTTTTTAGGTCTTACTTGATAAGTGCGCATTAGTCAAACTCAAGTTGAGGCTGGATTTAGTGGTGCGCAGTTTTCCTTCGTCTAGCAAACTGTTCATGGTCTATTAATTGCCAAAGCAGCTCATTTTCTTTTACACGTCGAGATGTGCACATATATTATGGCTTTTTATTTTTTATGGCCCCATGGGCCTTAAATTATATATATTAAATATTGGAGAAGATCTCGTGCCAATGCCCCGCGGTGTTGGTTAGAAATTTTTCCTCGATTGCGATTACGATTGACGATTGAAACCGAAACCGCGATTAGGGCAATTCCCTACGCAATTCACCATGAACCATCGGCCGTGGCAGAACAAAAGACTGAGGCAACAAACTTCAGTGCGCTTGCGGTTTCTGCGGGCGGTATGTTATGGTATGGTATCATATCGTATGGTTTGGGATCGGTTTGGATGGGTTGATTAAGTGGTTGGGGGGGGGGGGGGGGACAGGTGGGACAGTTGACAGCACAGCACAGCAGAGTACAACCTCTCCATGTGCATTCGGCTGGATGACTTTCACCCTGCTCCAACTTCTAAGTGGCATTGCTAATAAGCCACGGGGAATTGTTATTTGCTTTTTTGTCGCTGCACTCATCGTGGGTTCCTATCGCAGCTCCAAATGGGTAGCAGGGGGTATGCCCAGCAGGTCTTTTATTGCCACGAGTTGGAGACAATTCCAGGAATTTGCTGGGGGTCCATTAACATTGTTTATAGAATGGTTGTATTCAACAAATTCAACTAGAATGCTGTCATTCTTATAACCAAGATTATTAAAAAGACTTCGATTTTTGGTACTGTATATGTATATATACATTTCATCCTGTTGTAGTTATCCAAGGGTTTCGATTCATATTGCTTCTCAAACTTCTCAAATATTTGTTGAGGAACGTATTTTACTATATAGTAAACATAAGCAGTAGGCTAACCTATTATAAATCGACTTTCATTATCCTGAATTAAAATTTCATAACTTAAAAAGTGAATTCTTAAATGATGTCAATAGTTCTAGGCAAATATTTAGTATTTTTGGTACATTACTTTAGTTTTTCTTGAAAACCTCTTGTTTTGTTTTCTAAAAACATTCAGCTAACCCCGCTTTTTAACCCTGATCATCGAAGGGTCTAACCTGCCGGCGACGGCATTTCCATTTGGGCGACTCGCTCACTCGGAAAACCATATAGCGGTGGCTCTCGCATCCACATCCACATTTACATCCACATCCAAATCCACATCCACATCCACGTTGAAATGATATTAATTGCCCTGCACACTTATTGTGGAGTGGGTACTTAGGTGACTTTCATTGTCTTGACGGCGGCGGCTTTATTATGCGGCAGGTGGGTTTTTTCTTCAGCTTTATGCCCCACACACATGTGTGTGACTTTGACTGCAGCTCCAGTTTAATCACACTTTTAACTCCGTTTCACATAATACTAATTTCATAATTTGCACCACCCAGCAACGCACCACCCCACCACACACTGACACACCATAGGCTGCTGCATTTTCACTTTTACACATTAAATCTCGCCCGTTCGTTTTGCATAAGTGGTGATTTTTTTTATTTTAATTTTTTTTACCCACCATCATCAATGGGAAATTTGCCCACGGGAAGTGCTTCCCAGAATCCGGCAGATTCTGCACATTGGCACCCAACTAAAAACTGGAGAGCTCGGTCCTAGGCGTTGACATGCCTTGTAGGCAATCCCCAACTAGCGGATCATAATTGCAGGTAGATGGGCAGGTAGGCCAACTCACCTGGAGGAGATTGGGCTGGAAACCGGGCTGGGGATGGGGATGGGGTTCCTCCGCGAGAAGCAACAGCTATCTTGTAAAACAGCGAAGCAGCCATGATCATGATCATGAT